TACCACAAAAGAGTCCAAGAACGAGCAAAAGTTGTCCGATGCAATCACTTTCGTCGAGGCACCGCTGTTTCTTGGATTTTCTTGTGGGGGTCTGGCGTTTTATGCTTACAAATTTCTGAATCATTTTGTTTGCCAAATAGTTCACGGAGGAACTGGAAAGTAATTTTACGGCAATGTTTGCAAAATGATGGTTGTCTAACAGATGACTACCAATGAATATACCTATGCACCATGCTTTGCAACATCCAAAGCAGTTGGAATTGGGGAGGTGCATCCCCATATTGAATAAGGTTTCGGGTTTCGGGTTGTAATAAACGAACAAACTTATTCCAGTGCCACGTGACACCAAAACATGTGATTTGGGGAGCAGCCTCCCCAGTTTTCCTTGACACATGACACATCATGACACATGTATTGGGGAGGTACCTCCCTAGAATTCATGATTTGGATATGCGAAGGAAAGTAGGAGATTGGTTTACATGCCATGTATCATGTATCCTCATTGTTACTTTTAACTTTTTGTATCTCGCACGTTTGTGCTATGCGTTTAGGTTGGTCTTTGATGCTTCTTCCACCTTGAAGATTTTCCTATCAGACGGCCGTGAACCTTTGCAAATCCAATGCCCCAGACTCCTGATGAACACGGAAGCGTTGATGTTGGCAAAGGCACACCACATTTTCAACAACAACCTCTCGCCAGTGGACGACAAGGATGCCATTCAGTCCATCAATGACAATGGATTCTACATCCCCGTCAGGAAATATGATGACAAGTGGTATGTGTCCTTGAACCGCGGATTCACGTCTTTGGGTTGAATTGGTTGACATGACTGAAATTGTGCGAGAAACATGTTTGTAGATTTGTAGATTTGTTTTATTCTGCAAGGTTCCAGCTTCACTGGTTTGAAGAGTGTGTTGTTTATGTTTATCTGAGGCCGGCAGAACAAGTAAAACAAGCAGAGAAGTCCACTGAAGCAGAGGACATTGCCTTGACGGACAAGCATAACGAAGCACTTCGTCAATGGGGGGACTTGTCCGTATGGCAGGGGTGCGTGGATGTGGTGACCAAGCACTTGGGGGCGGAATCTTCTTCAGCCCGGGCACAGCGTGGAAGCAAGGTGTCCAAAGATCTCAAACATCTGACTAGCTGAAGAAATGGTTTCACTATTTCACTACCTAGCAGGCAGTGCTGCATGGATTGGTGTGATATCTGTGATATCATATATATATACATGTCAAGAGTTTAGTAGCCCCACACAAAAGCATATTATATGTTTCAATCATACGCTCTAGGCTTACACGGCTTACACATCTACATGTGCATTAATTGACAATTCCCAACGGCTTGTTGGATCAGATGCAGCGAATCTGCGTTTTGCGCATGGGCAACAAACAACCAGTTGCCGCAGAGATGAAAGATCTGCTCACGCGGTCAAAAGTCTTGTGCCCGGTGTACCCTTTCAAATTTAGATGGTACCTCTCAGTCCATTCATGCCACTTCAACACGATACAGCCTTCATCCGTGAGCGCCATTTGAGCACATGGCATCGTTCAGCCAGCTCAGGTCTGAACAGCAGTTGGATGATAGCAAAGGGCGTGAGTTTGACAAAAGTGCGTGCAGCTGTTCATCAGTGACAGCCATGGGCATTGAAGTCATTCGCATGTTCAAACCTATTGTGCTCAAATATAATCAAGACTACATACCTTCCAATCTGAGCAGGGTGCCCGCCCTAGTTCCACAGCACCACGCCCCCCCCAAGAGTTTGAACATTTATAAACGAGCTGGTAGCTTGCATTGCTTCATGCTGTACCTCTTCAGCACTGACAACGAGGCGCGTACATCTCTAAAGTCATGGGGTGTGACATGGTGCAACCGGGGCATAGTCGTCGATCATATTTGTAAACCGGTCGTGCAGTCCTGTGGGGTGAGGCACGCGTTTCATCAGAACACGTGCTTGGTATTGTTTAGCAGTGTTGGAGGGTATTTCGAGGGCATGTAGCGCAGGTGCCCCAATGGACTTGCGAGATGGCACGCTCGGTGACAGCCATTGTCAGCGACGTCTCCGCGCAAGAGTCAGCCATCATGGGCTTGGTCTCCGCGGCGAGGGTTCAGAAAAACACCGCGCCGTTTATATACCCCGTATACACGGTAAGACTTCTGATGTGTCGTCACAACTGGAGCCTTGAGGCGCTCTGACAAAAAATACTTTAGTATCGTTAGTATATATGGATGATGTATATATGACAACATCGTGCACAACATGAGAAATTTGCCAATGGCTCGGGATGTGTGAGGGTGGCTTTTGTGTAGTGTGAAGGGCTTTGGGCACTTTGTCCGCCTGTTGTGTGCGGAATATTTTGGAATATATTTGAACACCGTAGGAATTCCAGCAGCATCTCCAAAAGACCGCCCCGGAGCTCATGGCGGACACCTCGATGTTTCCCTGGCGAGCCCTTCAGCTTTGCATTGACCGCATCGCCCCACGTTGCATTGAGCTGATACAAGGTCTTCAGGATCGCGCGCACCAAGGGCAGTGCTGGCCTCTTAAGTGGTGGCGAGATCGAGACTCATGCAAGCTGCTGCTGAAGTCAAAGAAGGAGGTCAACAGCAAGGCCGAACATTACCTGACGGCAGAGCAGCAGGAGTTGTTCACGATGCGACTTGTGACAGAGGCTGGTCTTGGTAGGTCCACGTTTAGGTGGTTCAAACGATGGTTCTACGCTCTTATTTTTGTTTTTGTCTGGCCTTGCTATGCAATATTATGCAATTGTTACCTAGGCTGTGATGTTGAAATATGATGAAATGATGGGCGTGGATGTACCCGTGTCAAGTGAAGACTGCACCCCTGCCAGATGGAGAAACATCTTCAGCTGAAGTTCCAAGTCACCAAGCTCCAGGATGCACCAGCGAGCGTGGTTCGAAGTCAATGCACTGGACTGTGCCGACATTTCGACTCCAGCAAGAGGTTGAAGTTCAGGAACCAGGCTGTCCAATTTTCTGCAGCTCTCCATGCGAAGTTCTCTTGGTCGCAGACCGAAAGGGACCAGCTGATGAAGTCCTTTGCTCATGGTGCCGCGGATGCAGCCATGACGCATTCCAGTGCGCCCGCTTCCTGGCCGCCGGTCCGGCACATTCAAAGGTGCCGGCAGGAGGAGGCCGCCAGATTGGCGCAGGAGGCCAGCCAGAAGCAGCTGGAGAAAAAGGCAGCAGCACAGCGGGCATGGGATGAAGCCCAGAAGGGCAATGACAAGGCAGACAAGACTGAGGCTGAAGCTCTTCAGATGGGTTCCTCGGAACAGATGATGGAAGTGTGGAGGACCAATTTCAAGCGTTTCTTCATGTTTCTTCGTGTTTCTTCTTTGTGCGTGCATTGCATGGCATTGCGTTCAGGATCGTTCAGGCATGTTGAGACTAGCGTAGACATGCGTAGACTAGTCTTGCACGCAGACTGCGGAAATTCATGGAAACCCTCCCTCGATACATTTTAAGATATTTCAGGATATTTTGAAATTTTGAGATACTATTTTTTTACGATACTTTACGTATCGTGTATCGCGATGGACATTGATGGCCTGATGGTCTCGATTTTTATCTTTTATCTTGCTCCTATGAGCCATGGCGAACCTCATTAGAGCGTTCCGCATCTGCAGGACCATGTGCAAGGAAAGTCACCTTGCACGAAACGAGGCTTGGTCGGAGGCCGTCCAAGCTGCTCGTGATCTCTGCCAAGAAGCCTTGAAGAGTCGGATCGAGGACCTCTTCAGCATCGTGGAAACGGGCAAGAACTTTCGGGCTTTGCCGCGGGACGTCCTCCGCAGATGTGTAGATGAAGTGCACTGTGTGCCTTGCAAGCAAGCCTTGCACACTTCTGCCGCAGTTAGAGATTTTTAAGAGACGGAAACAGTATGGACCAAAATGGAAGCATCATCCACAAACATCACTACCCTGAGCCTACGTCTATATGTTTGACCAGTATTGGACGATGTTGGGATATTTTTGCACGTTTTGGCGTTCTTGTGGAATGAGCATTGTGGGATAGGACAGAGATAGTTTCCAGTAGTACCTGTCGCCTCCAGGGCAAGATCAGACCAGGTCATGTTTTTCCCAACACGCAAGCTTGCACATGATTGCGCTGATACACAGACCCGACAACATGCTAGAGCACATGCACAGGTCTTGGTGTTGGACTTGAACCAGATGACGATCGGCAGTCCTGAGTTGCCCAAGATGTGCTTGAACGTGGCACAGGACTTGGTGGGGTCGCCTTGGCTGCTCATGGTGCTCGTTCCTCTTGCCGACAAGACGACCAGCATCCACGCGTGGGAGATCAAGATTTTGTCGATGCTTCACTCGCATGAGGCTTCCGGGCGAGTTACAACTTCGAGACATGAAACGACATTGACCGTATCTGATTCAAGAGATTCATGGAGATTTTGTCAAGAGATGTTCAATTGAAGGTTCCCGCATGTTTCCACAAACGGTCACAAACGATAAGGATTGATAAGGGGACAGGAAAGATGAAACACGACTCATCAAATTTCACCTGCGAAACCTTTTGTGCGAAAGCTGACGGAAGAAGGCTGAAGGAACTTTCTCCAAGTAGAAGATTTCTTTCAGTAATCAAATTCAGAAAAACCCTATCCGAATGATTTTGGTCTTTGTTCATTATGTTCATTTTGAAAGGTGCAGTTTCGAAGATTTTTGGTGCTCAACAAGAAGAGCTCGCAGGTCCTCTTCGTCATCTTGGCTATTTGAAAAGTAGCTGAGATTGAAAGCCTTCCAAAACTGAAAGGGGGGTTGGAACTGAAATAATTTCAAGAAATGTTTTGGATTTCAAGATATAGGGGGTGGGTATGTTTTTTTTTGCTAAGAAGTCCATGAACAGAGACTGAATGTTCCTTCCAAAGCCAGGCCCGAAAACCTGAAACCAAAACCCTTCTGCAATCCCTTGTTTGACTTCGAATGACCCTATCCGCAGGCAAAAGAAACTTCCCTCGTTCTGCAGCTCTCTTCACTTCCTCGGCGCTCGAAGGTCCCATGGCTGCGCTAACCCCTTGGTCACAAGCAACATTAGGATCAGCCAGAAAATCCAAGGCCTCTCCTTTCTATGGGGGAATCTCTTCCTTCCTTCAACACACCAACTAGGACCAAACCAAGCCAGACTAAGAAAGCAAGCGACAGACAGCAGAAAGGGATAAGTCCAGCATAAAATCCATGGAAGTGGTCAGAGATCTGATTACATGGAGAGGGGCAGAAAATCCATAGCTGAAGTCGGGAAAAGTCAATAGGATAAACAGCCGGAGCCAGTTGGCAGCAAACCGTCTAAATCCAAACTTCGCGACAGCACTGATCTCCTCATCAACGCGAGCTTCTTGCTCAGGCAGCTACGCACAGGTGACCTCAGCGAAAGTCCACGTGTTGGGTCATCGGGAACATTCAAACGGGTAGGGGGGTAACACCAACCAGGATAGGTGTCAAAAGCAATCTGGATGGCACAAGCATGCTTCAAAGCTGGCGGAAGCTTCTTTGCTGAACTGCGACCCTTTGACAAGGCACCCTTCGCAACCAAAGAGTCGACAACAAAACACGCCCGAGAGTGAGGGCGCTGGCATCCAGCTGATTCCAAAGCCACAACCGACGCATCAGTTTCATACAGGTTTATAAATATATATATATATGTATATATATAAATATAAATATATATATATATGGGCATGCTTCTTCCAGTCCCAGACCTTCCCAAAGTCCAGTGGGATGAATCCGTAAGGTCATTCACAACAAGGCTTTCAAAACCATGAACAACATGTTCATCATCTGCCGACTCCAAACGCAAGGCTTTTGCAAAAGCGCTAGCAAGGCGCTTTCCAAGTCCATCCACATAGACGGCCGAACCTTTGGTCCATTTCCCTTCAATCCTGATATGGTGGTGCCCCCCTTGACAGCGTGCCTCCAAGAAAACTGCATCAAGCAGATAAACCAGAAACCTGAACCCTTTCCGGTGCAAACATCCAAACTGACATGACGCTATGATGGCTTCTTCAAAACCCAAGGCTAACAAAGTACGCCAGAAAGACAGCCACACCATTTTGGAGAGCCTAGGTTGTTCAAGTCCACATGGTTTACGCTTTCTCCTTCCAACTCGAAGCAGCGACCTGAAAGCATGCAAGTTGCCATGAAAGGTCTTTTTCTCCGTTCGATCATATCCCAAGGGCTCTTTGTAGGATCTGACCGACGGATGGGCAGCGGCAGAAAAGGACGTGCAAGGCGGTTCACCCAGAAAAGACCAAAAGCGGCATTCTTCAATCATAGGGATCGACCATTCAAGAAGCCTGAGATCCGACATGTCACCATGCCGAGAATTTGACAAATCCAAAACAGGTGCAACGCAGAATCCAAGCTCCGACATGTGGTGGCTGACAACCCAGCTCCGCCATAGAACTGAACAAAGTCAAAGTAGAGCAGAGGTGACTTGAAAGGTCCAAGAGAGACAAAGTCTTCAGCAAGCTCAGTCTCAGGCACAAGCTCTTTCAGCAACAAACGCACAGGCGAGTCAAGCTTTGTGTAGCTGCCTTTCTTGTCAGCATGCCTCCACAGGTTTTTGGTCTCATGCTCTCCAACCTCAGTCCAAGTAAAAGCACCAGACCTAGAGGAGGAGTCGGACGCATACACCCGCGAGTAATACCAAACAAACACATTTGTGAAGATCAGAGGCGAAACCGCCGCCAGCATGGCAAGTTCTTGGGCACATTTCCTCTGGAGAGGGACAATTTGGTTGTCACCCCCAGCATGGTCAAGTTCACATGATGCCCCAAAAGCGAAAAAGCTATCAACCAAGCTTGACCGACACCGCCTATACAGGAGAACAGACACCCAGTTTCCAGAGAGCCTTGCAGCCAATTTCTTCGTAAGTCCAGGACGCCTTGCAGCACGGAAGGCCAACACGGACAGCGCAAGTCGTTTGGCAAGAGGGGCAGCGACAGAGACAATGCCGTTTCCTAAGGACTTAGGACTAGATATTGTCTCAGACCCTGCGGCTTTGAAGATCCGAGACGACACAACATCCTTTTCAGGGGGCCCAGGCAAATCATGCTTCTCGTATGCTTTCCGTGCTCTGGCCAAAGCAGCTGCACAGCGAAGTCTAGTTCCTAAGGGCTCAACACCTATCGCAAAATAGCCATCGATGATCAGACCCTCAAGCCGGCAACCATCTGGAACTGGATGATGACCTAACAGGCGACAGGCAGGATCCAAAAGCCCTTCATCAACAAGCAAGTGCTCACGACTGGCCAAAGCAAACTCTACACTCTACACCTAAGTGGTCTCTTTGGAACAAGCTCTTGAACCCAGGAAACACTGAACCGGTGTGAGAACCAATAAGGCAGCTTTTCAACCCAAAACGATCGCCATGGGATACCCTAAAAGAGACAAAGTCTTCAGCAGGCTCAGTCTCAGGCACAAGCTCTTTCAGCGGCGAGTCAAGCTCTGTGTAGCTGCCTTTCTTGTCAGCATGGCATGCCTCCACAGGTTTTTGGTCTCATGCTCTCCAACCTCAGTCCAAGAAAAGCACCAGACCTAGAGGAGGAGTCGGACGCATACACCGTCGAGTAATACCAAACAAACACATTTGTGAAGATCAGAGGCGAAACCGCCGCCAGCATGGCAAGTTCTTGGGCACATTTCCTCTGGAGAGGGACAATTTGGTTGTCACCCCCAGCATGGTCAAGTTCACATGATGCCCCAAAAGCGAAAAAGCTATCAACCAAGCTTGGCCGACACCGCCTATACAGGAGAACAGACACCCAGTTTCCAGAGAGCCTTGCAGCCAATTTCTTCGTAAGTCCAGGACGCCTTGCAGCACGGAAGGCCAACACGGACAGCGCAAGTCGTTTGGCAAGAGGGGCAGCGACAGAGACAATGCCGTTTCCTAAGGACTTAGGACTAGATATTGTCTCAGACCCTGCGGCTTTGAAGATCCGAGACGACACAACATCCTTTTCAGGGGGCCCAGGCAAATCATGCTTCTCGTATGCTTTCCGTGCTCTGGTCAAAGCAGCTGCACAGTGAAGTCTATAGTTCCTAAGGGCTCAACACCTATCGCAAAATAGCCATCGATGATCAGACCCTCAAGCCGGCAACCATCTGGAACTGGATGATGACCTAACAGGCGACAGGCAGGATCCAAAAGCCCTTCATCAACAAGCAAGTGCTCACGACTGGCCAAAGCAAACTCTACACTCTACACCTATGTGGTCTCTTTGGAACAAGCTCTTGAACCCAGGAAACACTGAACCGGTGTGGGAACCAATAAGGCAGCTTTTCAACCCAAAACGATCGCCATGGAAACTCTATCTCTTTTCTCAGCGGCAGAGAAGCTTCTGGTTGGCGTGCGGCGAGCCCATCCCAGTCGTCTCAGGTGGCATTCACCAGGACGTTGCCCGGCAGCCTTTTGTTTTGCGCAAAATTCTTCATGAGCATCATATGGCTGCCCTCAAAAAGAGACAAAGGGAAAGGGAATGGCAACAGATTCGTTTGGGCCCTCTCAACGCTGACCTCAGCTTGATGGTAAAAGTCGCGCCTATCCGTAACCGAACCAAAACCGCAATGAGTGTGTCGGGGTACATGCATTTGGCACAGCAGGGGCCCTGGAGGCAAAAACTTGCTGGGTCCATCAAGGTGAAATTCAGGGGCCTTGGGGAGCCTCCTGTCACCAATTTGGCGGTCGCACTCTGGATTCTTATAAACCAGAAAAAAACTGCAAAAATAGCCAGGAGCGAGCGGCGCCCCAAACAAGGACTGCAAACCACGGCAATCCCAAAGTTTTGTAAATTTTAGGCACTCAGTCTTGGATTCATACTTGAAGCTAGGAACGCATGCACCTTCCAAGGAAAGTCCATGACGCAGAAACGCAGGTTCTTGAAAAGGCAACCGCAAGCAGTTTCGCAGATATCTTTCCATAGGCCATTTTCCTTCACCTGAAAAACGCAAGCGACTGGCATCAAGGTCGCGGTGAAGGACGAGCTGTGCGTATTGATCTGCAGGGAAAAGTCAATCATCCTCGCACAAGTGGGTTTTCGGAACAGAAGAGTAGGCATCAATGAAGCCTGGGCACCCCTTGATGAACTTCTCAAGTTGCATAATGCAAGACACTACTTCAGGACCAGATCTACCATGCACAAGAGGGAACCTACCTGGATCAGACCCACACAGCCAAAGCCGACAGCAAGCTGGGATTCATTTGGCGGCCTCCCGATCTCGGCACACGAAGGAAATCTACCCAAGTACAACACAACAACATGCACCACACGGGCACGGGCAAGCTTCTTCAGTCTTTCGGCCGAAAGTCCAGGGCCAGAGCACGCAGCAAACACCTCCAGACATGGGCTGGGCAATGGAAAGGCCGTGGTTGACAGAGATGCACCCCGTCGCTTGGCATGACAGGAACGAAGCAAAGTCCAAGAGAATTGAATTGGGTCCTAGTGGCAAAAATCCAACGAGGCAGACAGATACACCAGGACTGAAAATCAATGCTGGCACTGTGAAGAGATCATCCGGATCTACTTTGAGATTGTCCGGGAGACCACGAACAGCTGGATTCATTGTCCCTCCTCCTGGTCCGCATCCTGCTGCTGCCTTTAAATTCCTTTCTGGCCTTTCTTCTTTGGGGCAGCCTTTAGGGCAGGAGTTTTGTCTTCGCTGGCAGGCCCCTTCAAGCCTGACAACTCTCTTCTCTTCGTCTGGATGGCATCGAGCTCTTTTTAGGTAGGCTAATGCCGTGGTTATCCACTTTTGATCTGCCAAAGGGGCAAACGACCGAGATCGACTCAGGGCAGTTGTCTGCCTGTTGACAAAAATGCTTGATGGCAAATCGTGCTGAAGGCACAGGGCAGTGGCCAGTTCGAACCTGCCCTCGTCGGGGGCTGCCTGTTCGATGATGATGCTGAGAAGAGCCGTCGCGTCCCGGGCGGCATTCCAGTTTTCTGTCTGAAGGTAATAGAAGGTAGTCCATAATGGTCATGACTTGATACATCAACATGCCCAAATCCCGGTTTTCGGAGTAACTGCCAAAACGCTCCAAATACTTAGACTTGGTGCCACATACTGACATACTCCCCTGTCCATCACTGTGGGAGACATCCTCCGGGCCATGGCTTGCATCACACTTTGGAAGAAAAGGCCCTTTTGACTCGCAAGCTCTGTTTGCAAACGAGCTCTCCCTGTCGATCCCCTGGTGCCAGTAACTGAGAGACCCCTCAAACCCACCATAGGGTCGGAAGAGGACTGGGCAATCTGGCTTACCAGGTTGTTCAAAGCAGTTGACTGGGCTAGCACTGCTTGAGCAAGCATGTCGTCGGAAATCACCTCGGCAGATCCTGGCTTCTCCTTCTCCAATTCAAAAAGTTCCTGGAGTTTTTCCAAAGCAGGGGATAGCAACAAACCAGGGTTCTTCGCATGACTTGTTCTGGGATGGAGCCAAACGGGGCCCCGGCATAGCATTGGAAAGGGGTTGACGGTTGACTCAACGACTGTCTTCCAAAAGCTTCTGACGCTCCCGGATCTGACCTGACAGAGCTGGAAGAGATGACATCAGGTCCTGAATTGAATCCGAGAGCTGGGCCTTGGTGACCCTCTTTGCTTTCTGCTTTCCATCTTCTGTAACCCCATCTCCTGGCTTTCGAGCTGTCTTTGCTTTTCTGGCTTGCATCTTTGGAACAGTTGCTGGTGGGCCTCCTTCCGCAGAGTAGAATTCTAGACCTGACCTTACTTCCGCAGACTGAACCCACTCTAAGACCTGACGCAACAAGACACCTGGATCTGGCAGAGCAAATGGCTGATCGGGGTCGAAAGAGAAGGCTGGAGACGAAGCAAATCCACTACATGGGACTGAAAATCCACCACAAGGCACTGCAACTCGGAACCCAAGAGATTCAAACGACCTCCATCCAAGACCACACCTGAACCTCGAACAGACGGGACGGCCCTATAGCAAACCAGACTCCATGCCTATAGGTTTGCTTGATCGACCTGATCTTGAGGTAGGACACCATCGTGAACGGCTAGCAAAAGTCCATCTTTCCGACGAAGCACAGCAAAGAACTTTTACCTCCAAATGTCCATCCACTTCTTCACCATCCGGCCATGTCAACAAGTAAGGCTCCACATCTTGATCCAGGAGCACCAAATTCTGCAAAGTCAAAACGCTTGGATCGCTTTCCACAGACATCCCTAGTCACGAAGCATGTAGGGTTCAGAGAATCCAGCAGAAGCAGAGTCCAAGTAGACACGAGCTTCCCACTCGCTTGGGAATGAGTGACTGATGGAATTGGCACCCCGGCCAGAGGTGAAACACCACAGGACAATCCAGGCCCTCACAACGAAGCACCACGAAGAACATGCAGCGTAAATCCAAAGGCTCAGATCTGTTGGGAGAAAGGGCTCTTTGATCCAAGACAGCACGCGCCCACTGGCCAGCTTGCCAAGCCTGCGAATCCGGGACTGGCCACTCAGACAAGAAGCGCGCGACAACCAAGAAGCAGGACAAGTAGCAAAAGTCGAGGCGATCTGATCCCGAGATTCCAACACACGAGAACGACCAGAAGCAACAGAATCACCAGCTGAAGAAACCACTTCAAAGGAATTCTCGGACTCAGCAACCCGGGGGCACAAGGCCAGCAAGGGATCCTGTAATGAGAGACAGGGCCTCTGAAGCACGCTCAGGAGATCCACGGACAGTGACCAGAAGGTCTCGCCGCCCATAGATAGGTGAGCTCAACCACTTCGTCGTCGTGGTTGCCAGGCCTGGTGCTCATGCAAACACCGAGAAAGGCGAGTCAGCCGGAAATCCAAGGCCGAAGGAGGACGAAACCGAGGGACACCCGATTGGCCAAAAGCCCACACAGGCAAAATCCAACCACCAGGTCACCAGGCCAAGAAGGAAAGCAGCCAAGAGAGAGCCAAGACCTGGACTGTTGCAGCGCGCAGGACAAAGAGGAACCGACACGAAGGAAGGATTCCATCCACCTAGCACTTGACCCTTTAGAGGCGGCATGTGAATCAGTGGATATCAGTGGACTGCTTACATTCAGCGCTGCTGAGCCATGCGTGTGCCACAGATTGCCATAGCATCTGAGCTCCCCGGCGCAAGATCCTGGCGCGCGACTGCCTTGCGCAGCACATCATTGATGGAGCGGCCCTGGTTGAGCTCCTGAGCCCTGGCAAGGCGGAAAGAAATGATCAAATGTTGAATTTCTCTAGACTCTAGAAATTCTGTGGCAGCAAAAGAGTCACGAGTCACGAGGTACAATTCAACTTCACCACACCTGCGGCAATCTGGGAAAAATCCGAAGGCAACCTCCTTCTCGCTTCCAGCCGGTCTCTCCAGCCAAGTTCGGGTGCAGGTTTGGGACTTGTTGGTGTAAGGATCCTCAGGGAGTGAAGAAAAGCAGGCGCCACAATGAACAGGATAAGAAAAGAAAGCCAGCGAGCCGCAATGTTAACATTATAAGGCAGAACCATGCTTGTTAGTCTTCCCGGTCCTTGAAGGGTTGCACAATTTCGAGCAACTCCTTCGTGGTGACAACAGGGCAGTCCAGCAAGAGTCCAGCCTGATCGTAGACATTGAAGCGAAGGGCCTCATGCAAGCCACTTGATATAAGCGCTGTCTCGCAAGGTGGAAGTTGGCTAAGTATGTTTGTGTGAATGAGCGCATATATGCGCGTGCAGAGTGCACACATTATTAAATGCAAACTGCCACCGCTTATATACATTCTTCTGAACTTCTGCGGCCCTGTTCTAGCAAGTTTAGTTTTGCGAATGTTTGGGCCAAATCGTGGCTGTTGCCCGTGGCAACTCGCAGCTTTAGCATGGCTCCCCACCTCTCGGATGGGACTGAAGTCCATAACATCAACGTGGCCTCCAACAAAGTAAAAAAGCACCTGGCGAGCTTGCTGCTACAGCTCCAAGAATATGACGGTATCAAACTTCTCAATATATAAGCAAACACTATGTAGCAAATAGTTGGCTCCAGAGCTATAAGTCAAAGTTTGACTACCTGTCCCAGCATCACGAGATTCTACAGCAACAAGTGATGATCATGTTCTTTCAGCTGACTCAACTGCGACATGCAAGCATCAGCATCACCATCACCATCACCCTCACCCTCAACCTCACCCTCACCGTCGCCGTCGCCGTCGTCGTCTTGGTCGTCGTCTTGGTCGTCTTGGTCGTCTTGGTCGTCGTCTTGGTCGTCGTCTTGGTTGTCGTCTTGGTCGTCGTCTTGGTCGTCGTCTTCTTGAGAAGGACCCTTCCTTGCTAGTGGTTTAAGAGCTTTATCCATCTTAGCTAGATGTATGTGAAAGCAAAGCTTGTATGTTGTTATCTCATTGCTTAGCTATTGTTAAATACTTGTTAGCTTTTAGACAATGTAACAACCTTAGCTAAGATTTAACCTGAGATTGACAAGTGGGATAAGATCTTAGCCAACTTAGCTCATTTAGCCTTTGGTTGCTGCGTTGTGTTTTTTTTTGTTTCTGGTTTCCTTGTGATTGTCCTGGCGACATCATCTTGCAGCACAGCATTCCAGAAGAAAAAGTTTCTTGCTACTGCATCTTGTGTGCAGCAGAGACATGTTTTCCATGTTGCAAAGCCAATCATTTATTCATGTGCAAAGGCATGTGCATGCATTCAGCACATAGTGCTTCCATTGAAACATTTTCCCATTTTGTTTCCATATAGACTTAGCACATAGTGCTTCTCAACAGCTTCAGTTGTGGTTCAGCTGTATGTTGCTCCAATGGCAGCAGCTAGCACTTGGTGCTTCCAAAACAGCCATTGCTTTCCAAATGCTCACATGTGTACAACATGGCATGCCAGAAAACTTTTCATTTGACAGCCATGCCAGAATATGATGCAATTGAAAATTTGTGCCATGGTTGAAAATGTGTCACCTTTTGTTAGATAGCCAGACCAATTTGTCTTTGTGCTGCCATGGACCAAGATCTGCAGAAGTTCATCGCCAAGGTCAAGGATGACCCCATGATGCCAATTGGCACCAAGTGGCTGCAGCTCCAGAAGAAGCTCCAAGAGAATGGTTTGATGTACCAGCAGACCTTGAAGCCCACCCAGCTCTTGGTCCATCCACTCAATAGAGGTGGTGCCATGCTGTCCCACCATGACTGCCACCAGAAACGGGCCAAAATATTGGCCATTGAAGAAGAAAAACCAGATTGCTGCCAATGAAACCATTGTGCATGCATCAGAGGGCACTTTGTGCCCAGGCTGTGCTCCATGGCTGCACCACCTCCAATGAGGAACTTGCTGCCATCTCCCACAAGGGCAACCTTAACCTGCAAGCCTGTTGTGGAAGCCAAGGGAACCAGAACCCATTCAACACCATGTGCACAGAAGGGTGGCCATGGGTTTGCCACAGCTGGTCCAAACAGCTTTGAATTCCTCCCATGGGATTGCTGAGGAACAAACAGAGATTATGGCATCCATGGCCAGCGATTATGCCCACACCAAGGGCTTGAAGAAGGCCTTGCAGCTTGCACAGAGCACCAAACCCAAGTGCATGCCTTATATTGCTGCCATTGGCCATTATGTCCAGAAAAATAATGGTGGCACCAGCTTTGACACCATTCATGTGCTGGCCCATGTGAGCACCTTGGCTACTACATATAGCACATGGCTTGTTTGCAACGTTCAGCAGGGCATGCCAACTGTGCATTTTTACATGCCCAGTTTCCCAAATGTGTTTGCAGGCAACGCCTTCACCAACACCTTGACCATTGGGGAAGATTTCATGACCACCATTGCCTTCATGGATTTCAAGGAGAAGTCCACCACTTTTCCATGGACCACACCTCGCCTTTTAGCTGCCAACCGTCAAAGTCCAATTTGTAAGGATGTAAGTTGCTTCACAAAAGTGATGTTGACAAGCTCAAGACACCAGCCATGAGAGCCAACTTGAGCAGCTGTGAAGCCAACCTGGCCATTGCATACACCACTCTCCAGAAGCATGGCCTCCATGCCACCACAGATGGAAAAACTCTCTTCGCCAGGTTTTTGGTCCGGTCCACACTCTATGTCACCAAGAAGCAACACAAGTCCAGGGATGACATCCAATTTGAAATTTTGGGTGAGATCAGCAGCAACTTTTCCCAAGAGCTTCATGATCTTCTCAATGGCACCAACGCGGGAGCTCCCACCTCTTCTTCCACTGCAGAGCAAGAGGTGCCAGTCTTTTCAGGAGCGTGCCCCGTATCTCCATACATTGAAATATTTTATCCAGCACACAGTGCTTCCATCCTTCTTGTCAAATTTCTTTTTGAAACATGTTTGTTGCCAGGAGAGCCATGATGCCAAGTTGATTGCCAAAAGGAAGTGGGGCATGGAAGAGAACCAATTTTACCACCAGAAAGGTGATTTGAACACTGTTGCCAAATTTGAGCACATGCCATTGTTTCCAACCAAAGATGGCCAACCATGGAAGATGGAAGTAGAATTCGAGGAATTGAAAAATGTCAAGAAGGCTGCCACTAAGCCACCACAGTTGCTTCTGAACCAAGCCATGCAAGACCTTTTGCCAGAAAGCTTGGGCACTTTCCACCAAGACAAGTTGAAGGCAGAAGCCACCATTGCCATGACGCAGCTGTACCATGAGTAGCTGGGTGGCAATATGGTTGCTAAGGAATGAAGTTTGACTTCAATTCTAGACATTGTTTTGTGTTTTCAAATTTGTATCTGTAGCCTTTAGTTGCTTTTCAACTGAGGAACCTGTTGCCAGAAGGCTCAGTGGCAGCTGCAGAAAGGTGTTTTGGCCCCTTTGCCAACAAGACCTTTGCCAAGGGCAAGCTGAAGATATACCCTATTCAGAAGCAAACATGGCCACATCACAGCTTAAACCCGTGGCAAGCGCAGCATTTTAGAAGTAAACAACCAAGATCAATTTAGAAAAAAAGTGAAAGCCAACATGATTTTGATTCATGGCCCAGATGATTCCAAGTTCCAGATCATTCCACCAAAGGTGGACTTAGAAAAGAAAACTGGTGCCTTGGTGCCATTTTTTCATTTAGTGAAAAGCCCAGGTGGCAACATGGAGGTCCACATGACCAAGGCAGAGAATGGCTTCCAAGTTCCAATTCTCAGGAACAATTCCAAAGTTGAGCCAGGAACATTCTTGACCATGCTTTGCTCAGAAGATGAGATGGCCATTACCCGAATGTGGTCCATTTCTTGGAATGGCTATGCCACCACCATTCCAGAAGATTTGCTGAAGGAATACCAAGATGTGTGATACCTGAAGATGAGACCATCTCACCACAAGATTACCCAGTTGCTGACTGAAGGAAACCCAAAGAAGAATGCCAGCCTCACCAATTCAGCATTGCTCCAGGAATTGAAGACCAAAAGGGATGATGCTTTGACCAAGTCCCTGATGCCTACGCCAGATGAAGAAGGCTTAGGCAATGAGAATGCCAAGAAGCAGAAGCCAGCCACGCAAACCATGGACATGGTTGTGCAGATTGATGTGGGTGGCACCATGGTGCATTGCCTTTGCCCCAAATCAAGGGGCACCAACAATGAGCTCATGGTTGAAATGGACATGTGCCAGCTCAATGGAATCTTCCAGCACTTGCAGCCAGACACCCAAGAGATCACCTTGCAGTCACCCAAGAAAATCAAGAAAAGGAAGAGAGACCAAGTGCCACCAAAGGGCCATGGAGCTGCACCAGAAGGATGAATGCTCAGAGACCACCTATTTCAATTTTGGATGAAAAAATTATGGCTTGCAGCTTCTGGACCCACCTTGTTTGCTTCATGTTCATGTCCATATGGTTTAGCACCAAGTGCTTCACAGCATTCTCAGTTGCCAGTTTCATGTCCATGTGGTTCAGCACACAGTGCTTAAAATCATTGTCAGCACCCAAGTGCTTCAACATGTGTTCCAAATCACATTTGCCAACCCATGCTGTATTTTTTTGGCTTGCATTGCCAAGCTGCCAGCCCAAGTGTGCACCAAAACTGTGCCATGCGGGACAGCCATGGCATGTGCATTGCATTCTGGGTTACATATATGCCATGCATTTTGTTTGGCAGGGGCCACCACCAGGAGATGAGGCATGGTCAACACAACCAAATGACTGTCAACTACTTTGCTTCAATTGCTCCTTCAGGTTCCACCTAACCCTGCAGCACCAGCTGGACCAGCAAAGGCTGGCCCACCAAGACCAAGTGGCTTGGAACTTAGTTTCCAAGCATCAGTAACCATAAACTGCAGTGTTGAAATTTGCTCCAGCACCCATTTGTTTTTTCCCATTCCCCAAATCAGCACACAGTGCTTTTTGTTCCATTTGTTTAATTCAGCACACAGCGCTTTTTTCCAAATTAATTCTAATCAGCACACAGTGTTTGTGACCATCTTGTTCCATTTGTTGTGGCAGGTCGGACTGGGACATGGGTCCAGGTCCAAGGCTGACTTCCAAGACAGCCCAGAAGGGACCCAGAAGAAGAGGTGGGGCTTCATGCTTGCAATTAAGCAGCGTATCTATATATAGAATAAATACATATCCATATATACATATTGCCCACGTAATGTCATGATAATAGAACTTTATTGAAACCAACATCATTCCCAATATGTTTGCTTCAATGGTAGGACCTTGGCCATGCTATATGACCATGTTGGCTGCCAAAGAAGAGGTGCATTGCATTCATGTTGCATTGCCGCCATGTGTGCCCAAGCATCCAAAAATTGCTGCACACCAGGACATGGATAGCCCCACAGAGCCAGCCAGCCCTGCAGACCCACCAGCCATCCCAGCCAATCCAAGTACACCAACAGTAGCAATACCAGAGCCTTTGCCAGCAGGCACAGAAGGACCAGAGGTACCTAAGTCACCGCCAGAGGCTGTCCAGCCAGACCCAAGACTTTCCCCAGCAGCAGAATCCACTGTCATACCAGCACCAGCTTCTTCAATCCCAAGCCCTATGGCAACAACACCACCAAGCCCAGCAACCGCCAGCAGTACAGACACACTACCATGGAGGAAAATCAAAAAAGCCAAAGCTGGCTCACCACAACAGGGGCTGGCACCCACAGAGCCAAAAGCCACAACAATCAATCCACCCACATTTGCAGAACCACCACCCAAGGCCATTCCAGCCAAAGGACCACCCACAGCCACAGTGGCAGTACAACCGCCCAAGCCCATGCCAGCCACAGAAACACCAACAACCAGGCCAGCCACAGAACTACCCAAGCCAATCCCAGCCACAGCAACATCCACAGAACCACCCAGGCCAATTCCAGCCACAGCAGCAGCCACAGCCAAGCCAACCATTGTGGAGCCTGCCGCAGCAAGATCAATAGCCAAGCCAACCACACCAGTGCCAGCTACAGCAACATCCACAGCCAATGCAACCAATGTGGGGCCAGCCACACCAAGACCCACAGCCAAGCCAACCACACCAAAGCCAGTTACAGCAACATCCACAGCCAAGCCAGCCACACCATTGCCAGCCAAAGCAACACCCACAGCCAATGCAACCACTGTGGATCCAGCTGCAGCAGGATCCACAGCCAAGCCAACAACACCAACATCCGGAGGCAAGGCAACAACACCATTGGCAAGACCACCACCCAAACCAATGCCAACCACACCAGTCACACCAGCCAAGGCATACCCTGCATCACCCACCATACTGCCACTAACACCCAAGGCAGCGTCAAAGGCAGCTGCTGGTGTAGACATCCCAAAGGGATCCATGAGGCCTAGGTCGCCTCCAAAGGCTCCAGCTGCCAAGGCTTGGACAGCACCTAGTGCTTTGTTTAGTTTGTAATCCATATCTTGTAACATTGGTTGATTCATTCCATAATGATATTGCCAGATGCAATGCCTGTTTATGCATATGTGGAGGCCATGAGCTCCAGCAGTTCCAGTGCCAAGCCACCAGCTCCACCCATGGTGGCACCAGCAGTCAGATCCTTATAACCCAAGTGATTCAAGCCAGTTTTTTGACAATAGATGTTTGCCACTGAGGACAGTAGCCTTGCTGGGGTTGCACCAGTACCCAAGGCTGGTGGTATGCCAAGCTGCTTACATTGCCATCTGCTGACATTTGTTTCCAGTGCCATATGCTGTTGCAGGCACCAGCTGCAAGTGGCCCAAGTGATGGCACCACTCCCATGGCCAAAGCTGCCAAGCCAAAGGCACCAAGATTGCAGCAAGGCAACAGGAACAGGTGGGTCCACCTTGCTGTCCTCCATGGGTTGGGGATGCACAATGAGGCATCCCAATTCATTGCAAGGGTCAGAGACAGGGCCAGCGACATAGACCAGAGCTACCAAAACCACTTCTGGTATATGTCCAACTGGGGCTATGACCCAAGCTTTGGCGACTTCTAGGCCACCGTGGCCACAGCTGCAGGTACAAAAATGTGTGTTGCCAGCTGTCCCGCACATAGTGCTTTCATGTTCATTTTGTAGTACATTGCTTCCATGTTGTTTTGCCTGTTCAACCATGTCCATGTAGCACCCAGTGCTTTCATGTGGATTCTGTATGTGCAGTTGGTTTCCATGCACCAGCACTCAGTGCTTCATGCTCAGCTTTGTTGAATGCTGTTTTTTTTGCAGGGATCCAAGCTCCAGTAGCTCCAGCACCCAGTGCTTCCACCACAGCCTGTGCCAGCACCCAGTAGCTCCACCACCAGAGCCATGAAGAAGACCATGAAGGCTGGATCACCAATGCATTATGTTTATAAACACCATGTATGTTTGCATTCCACGTAGGTTTATCCAGCCCATGCATGTTGATAAGCAAGTTTGTTTTCCACCCCATGTGTTTGTGTTCACCATTCCTTGCATGCACCTGGAGGTGACCAAGGGCAAGACCAGCAAGGCCACCAATGTCATTGCCTAGCAGTTTTAGTTGCATGTTTCTTTTATTGGCATCCTTCTGCAGGTGGACAAGTCCAAGGGCAATGCCATGAAGGCCATGAAAGCCCTTCTGATGACCAGACACTTTGACCGCAGTGGAAGGGCAGATCAAGTTGCTTCGCATCTTGGTCCTAAGTCTGGTATGTTTCTTGGAACAGTATTGAGGATTACGAGCAAGTTGTGCAACCTTGTTTGTAAGATTGGCAAATTAGGATTGATCCTTGTGTTAGCATTTTGGACTTTGCTTGCACCATTGTCCTTTGCTTGCAGTATCGTTTCCCTGGCAGTGAGCTGTCTTTGCAATATGGAATGCAGTGATGCTGACAAGATTGAAGGCTGGCTTAGATTCATGTTTGGTTTCAAGAAAGCTTCTCAGCAGTCTCTTCGTATGTGTCATGCTCTTCGATCTTTGGTCTTCTCTCCATTGCTCCTGTCCTCAGCTTTTGCGTCTCGTATGTTTGCCTGGTTGTGTTTCCGCACGTCTGTTTCGCTGTGGTCTGATCCATTGGATTCACGGACGTGTGCATCATCCAGTCATTATTTCACTGCTTCTCCTGTTGCTGATCTTCAGGGTGGGGCGGGAAATTGCGAGATTGGTTCCAAGAATTGGCTCGACAGTATCTTGTCTGGTTTGGCTGCCCGACATCTTAAACCACCAACGCAACAGGTTAAGATGCTGGTTCAAAATGAAGCCACGTTGACTCGATTGAAGAAAGCTACTGAGCTCAAACAGCAACTTGATATCATTTGTGGTGCGGCGTACAGAGCGCAATTGGGTTGGCAAAAGGTTTCCAGTGACTCTACCGGTTCCTCTACTTCGGGTGCCCAGTCTTCCAACAACACCCCTGTTGGTCCGCCCCCTGAACCCAAAGTTCAAAGTTGGAGGCTTCGGCCTCGGGATTGGCAGTCTGCCAAGCCTGCATCTGCAGCTGAGCCTATCACGGGTGACAGACAGGATGTGTTTCGTACAAATGTTGAAGGGGATCCTTTGCTTCAGGTCTGGTCTCGTGTGTGTGGGGCATATTTTGTTGATCAGTCTGAAGCAGTACGTATCATAAGGTCTATCCCTGCCCATATGCCACCTGCTGGCCTTTTCACCTTGGTCACAGTTGAACCCACGTGTCGGTCGGTCCCTGTCGCTGTTGAAACGGTGGTTCTGTTCCCTGATGGGTCACCTCATTTGAAGAAAGTGTATTTGTCGCACCTTGGCACTGACACTTTGTCCCCGGTTAGTTGGAAGTCTGTTTCGTTGGCAAGTGTTGAAAATGTTGACCTTCTTCTTGAATGGTGGAAAGATTTGTCCGTCGGCCGTGACCTTGAGAAATTCCATGAGTTCCATCGCGCTGTCGAAGAACTTGCAAATCCCAAACCTAAAGGTTCCGGAAAGGCAAAAGGTAAACAGAAAGGGTCTGGCTCGGGTAAAATGTCAGACAGTTTGGCTGCCAGAATTTCTCAACATATCAAGTCCATGCTCCCGGATTCAGTGGGGAAAATGTTTGACTCTTTGAAGACTTCCAACCACAATGTGAAATCAAACATCATTCGAGTTTCAATACGGCTTCCCAAATCTGACGCTGTTACATGGCTTGTGAAAGGGGTTTCGCATGATGCCTTGCTTGTTAGAGATCTCACTGACTTTCCTGAAGCCCACGATCTTCGCAAAGTATGGGTCAATGAGGGTTGCCCGATTTTAGACGGCGATTCAATAAGCATCCGTCAAAGTTTGAGTCTCTACCTTGCCGATTTCAAGAGTGGTTGGTCAGTTGTTCGAACACCTTACTGTTGGGGTGTCAGGGTTGATAAGA